TCTATCTATCTATCTATCTATCTATCTATCTATCTATCTATCTATCTATCTATCATCTACCTACCTACCTACCTACCTACCTCATACAAACCTTGCATTTGTGCTGATAAATAAACAAAGGGAGACTAGTATTGCTCTATTTCAAGCCATTGTATGAATGTTGTGCTTTTAATGATGTACTGTCTTATGTGTTAATTTGTTTGTTTTCCCCCTCCTTTCGAATTGTAAGCCGCCCTGAGTCCCCCCAGGGAAAAGGGCGGCATATAAATAAACTACTCATACTCATACTCATACTCATTTAGCTCTCATCCTCCTCCCTTATCAGCTGAGCCAAAGAAATAATTAAGTGTTACATCAAAACAGCTGGTATGTCGAAAGATGGGAGGGAACATACTGCTGAAAGGGTGGAGCTGAAAGGCAAAAGGGAAGCAGTATGCTCCCTCCCATATTTGGGCATACCAGGTGCTTTGATAACACTTAATTATTTCCTTGGCTCAGCTGATAAGGTAGGAGAGCTTGTGGCTTAGAGGCTAATACAACTGCCTAACATGTAAAAACAGCTCAGGTTCTAAGCCCACTAAGGGTATGGCTAGCTGATGAGAGCTAAATAGCTTGAAATAGAGCAACACTAGTCTCCCTTTGTTTATTTATCAGCACAAATGCAACATATGTATGTATGTACATATGTATGTACGTATATATGTATGTAGATTTTAAATAATTTTATTTATTTTAAAAAAGGCTGTATGTAGGTATATATGTATGTTCCAGCATACGGGGGGGGGGATACCCCTGGTGTGTGTGTGTGTGTGTGTGCGCGCGTGTGTGTGTGCGTGTGTGTTTGTGTGTGCGTATGCTTTCCAGAATAACACCTGACCCGTTAAGGAGAGTGAGTGCAATGTCCTAGCACAACAATTGTTTGTGATATCAGTTCCTTTGCAACTTCCTCTGGAAAGCCAGCCGTGACGTTCACCCTCCAGTGGACCAATGGGCCTGATGGTTTGGGGGCAAAGTGCCAGGATCGTAGGCAGGGCGGGAAAGAGGAGCGTATGGGAGGGGGAAGGGAGAGGGCAGGGATGATGGGCATGGGAGTAGGGGGAAGAAAGGCCCCTCTCAATGGCTCCCTGTCAGACAAACACTTCAACATCTATAAATACCCAGGCAATGCCGCGTCATCAGTAGTTTATTGATAAAAGGAGAGCCCACTAATTAAAAAAACAAACCGTTATGCTAGAAAGTCAGAAGTTTGAAAAGTGTTAAATAAATGTAGATGCCGCCGTAGGATCTCGCAAAGGAAGACTCCTAGAATGCTCCATTCTAGAACCAAAACATACACTTAGCTGTCAGATGAATAGCAAGCAGACCCCTGTCCTTCCAATCTACTTTTCTGACTTACCTCTGGTCGAGTTGAAATATTGAGAATCAGTGCCCACAGCTCTGCTCTTAATGAATTGGGGGAGCCTTGACGCACGTACTGTTGAGCGGCTGCGCTGTCCTGCTCCATAAGAACTACAAAGACATTATATAAAAGATAATTAGCGAAATACCTAAAGCTTCACGGTATTAAAGCGAGATAGCTAATATCAATTACAGGACTGTAACTGGACCTTAATTGAGACCCAAACTTCTGTGGCTAAGCGAAACAATTACTAAGTGAATTTTGCCACTTTTTATGACCTTTCTTGCACCGTTGTTAAATGAATCACTACCATTGTTAAGTTAGTAACAAGGTAGTTGAGAGAAAGCAAAAAAAAAAAAAAATTCCTCTTGTCTCCCAGCTGGGGTATTTCTTCTTATTTTAATGTATTTATGTGCGACTGCTCCTGCTACTTGTAACCCCCAGGCGTTTACAGTGGGACAAACATGTAATTCAAATACAAATACGAAAACAACAATTGTGTTGATAGCTGATCTATCCAGAGTGCAAGGCTTCCAGAAATCCCAGGAAGCGTTTTTGAACTTGGCTTGGTGTAAGATACTCAGAGCTTCCCAGTTGAAACCATGGCTAAGCCTAAGACTTTTCTTTCGGGTTTAATGGAAGGCAGCAAGATTACTTTACGCAACGAAACGGAAAATCACCTTGATCCGCACGATGGAGGGATGGCTGCAAAAACTGATGGGAGTTAGCAGAGATGGCCAAATCGACTGCTTTGATCAAGGGGGAAGAAATACAAATGCTTTTATTTCTACCTGGAAACCGCTTGTGGAACTTTGTGCTTGAGGTGTGGGGGGGAAAACCAAACTTTTGATTTTGGGTTTTACTGATTAAATAGATCTGTTGTTGTAGAAATGGCTAGTTATACTACTGTGTAAAAATACATAACAGTATAGGAGTTTTCATCATGTTTTCTGATTGCTAGTTGGTGTTCATGGATCTGTTAGGTTTTCGGCCTGTATGTCCTACATACTGACTTCTCTTTGTCTTCTTATGGGGCTCCTGGGCCTTTTGGGTTACTTAGGATGTTTGGGAGGGATTTAGTTGATTGGCGTGTTATATAGTGAGGCCATGTGGTTGTAACTGGTGGTTTATGAGATTTATTTTTTTGATGTATGTTATCTTTTTTATCATTTATGTTGGTTGTGCTATATTGGGTTGAATGATCAGGCCCACTTAACGAAGTTGCGTGGATGTCCATTTGGTTAGAAGATGATGTATAGATGATCTATTTCCTTTTGGGGGGGGGGGATGCTCACCAATATTCCCTCTAATTTTTTTTCAGTGTGTGCGGAAAAGTATTTGAGCGGCACATTTTCATGTCTGAGCACCTGAATTTTTTTTTAGCCATAATTGCCATCAGAGCAGATGTTGGGGAGGGGGGCAAGGAGGAAAAGGGTCCCCTCCCTCTCCCTCAGACCCCCAGGAAGGAAAGAAGGGAAGGAAGGGGGAGGGAAAGGAAATGGGAAAGAAGGAAAGGAAAAGAGAAAGGAAAGGAAAAAGGAAAGGAAAAGAAAAGAGAAAGGAAAGGAAAAAGGAAATGTAAAAGAAGGAAAGGAAAAAGGAAAGGAAATGTAAAAGAAGGAAAGGAAAAAGAGGAAAAGAGAAAGGAAAAAGGAAAGGAAATGGAAAAGAAGGAAAGGAAAAAGGAAAGGAAATGGGAAAGAAGAAAGGAAAAAAGGAAATGGAAAAGAAGGAAAGGAAAAAGGAAAGGAAATGGAAAAGAAGAAAAGGAAAAAGGAAAGGAAATGGGAAAGAAGGAAAGGGAAAGAGAAAGGAAATGAAAAAGG